GAGTGAGGGAGCCCCTGACCAACTCTGGCTGGTTTGTTTCCCTTGCAGAAGTCACATTTGTCAGCGAGATGCGCACGTCCAAGACCTTCCGGCTGCAGCATGGCGGGAATCGGGCTGTGGCGGGGGGGGGGGGGCTTTCCACCAGGTCGGCCTCCGCCACAGCCTTCCTGGCCCTCTGCACGCCAGTCATGCGGTTGCCTGCAGACAGCGATGCCAGTTCCCAGGACAACCTATTCCAGAGCACACATGTCTTAGACATGACGTTTACTGATGTTACGGAGAGGTGAGAGGTGCCTGCTCGCACCAGCTGTACATCTTGGACAGCAAGGACCATTTCCCTTCCCCATGCCTGCGTGAGGGACGCAGGCTGGACCCTGTGTGAGCAGTGAGACTCCCCCAGACACTTTCCACGCCTCTTCCCTCCTTTGTTTGCAACTCATTTCTGTACCCCTGTTGTTTTGCTCTCTCCTCCATCATGCAACAGCTGCTCCTTGCTGACACGGTGCAGACTCTGCAAAGCACTCAGTTCCCCCCTCCCCTTGTCTTCCCTAGTGTTACCTACCACCTTGGCTACTACAAGGAGGAACTGATCGGTCAGTCGTGGTACAGCCTCCTGCACCCTGAGGACACTGACCTAGCAGCTGCCCAGCACAGGGCTGTGGGTGAGTGTCAGGCCCGGGAACGTGCGTGTCTGGCTACCCTGGGAATGTGGCTGGCCGGGACAATAGAAACAAAATTAATTTAGTTCTGCCTGCTGTGGTTCCCTGCTCTGAAAAGGATGAAGCAGAGAATTGGTTACACACCCCATACACTGTCCGGGAGGTCACAGGGAGCTTCTAAACTTGGGAACGTGGGCACCCTACTTTGCCACAGTGCAGAGACAAGCCTACTGGAGCCCCAGCTTTTCCTGAGAGCAGGACTGTTACGGACCTGACTCCAATACTTGTGGCTTCTGTCCCGCTGGGGCCCCAGACCCCAGGAGGGCCGCCCGCAGGGTCCACAGGCAGCGTGCCACTCTGTCCTGGCAACCGG